CCGCACTGCGCCGCTTCATGGCGATGCGCAGAGAAGGCGACTCGGACGGACGGGCGGCGGTCAACGTGTTGCGCGAGCTTGACGCGTTCCGCAGCCGCGAGGAGAACATGCGGCGGGAGCAGCGGCGCCAGGCGGCCCTCCAGCGCCTGCAGCAGCAGCAGCTAGAGGCAGCGGAAAACGATGAGGAGAATGAGGAGGAAGAGGAAGAGGAAGCGGAGGAAGATGACGAGGGGAAACAGGCGATCGGGCGTGCTGCGGCTGAGGACGGGGCGCCGACAGGGCGCAAGAGCCTGCGGCAGGTGTACCGCGACTGGGTGTCGGTGTGGGGTGAGGTGGAGCTGCTGCTGCTCAAACTCTCCCGTGGCATATTCTTCTGTATGTGGCACTCCGACAAGCCGCTCGTTCAGCTGGCGTGCGCGCAGCGCATCGCAGAGCTCATCCACGCGCCGCACACAAACAGCGGCAAGATACTTATGTTCAGCTGCATCATGCGCGTGCTGGGGCGGGAGTGGCGCACAATGGACCGCTATCGCGTCGACAAATTCCTGGCGTTGGTTCGCAAGATGATCTACGAGCTCGTCACGTTCCTCAAGACATTGGAGTGCGAGACACGTCAGCAGCAACAAAAAGAAGGCAGCAGCCCCGGAGCGGTGCGAAAGTCTCCATCGTCGAAGCGCGCGTCAAGTGCTGCAGCAAAGAACGGCGGCAGCAACATGGATAACGACAAGGACGTGTTGAGCCACGACCCGCTCTGCCGGGCGCTGGATGAGGCGTGCTATGTGTTTCAGTCGCAGGTTGTGCCGGATCCCACTGCGGTAGGGCTGACAATGCACGTGTGTGACGTCCTCTTTGACGAGTTGTGCCGTGCCGCAGTGTCACCGTCGCTCTTCGTGGAACTCAGCGACCGCGTCGGGTTTTACGCGATGAGCCAAGGCAACTTTGTGGAGAAGCGCGTGCTGGACTACTTTGTCGCCCCTATCGCTGGCGGCATGCTTCTCACCCGCCGCCGTGAGCAGCATCAGCAGCACGAGCCGAAGCCTGAAGGAGCTGCAGTGAAGGGGCGAAAGCGGCAGCACAGCGGCAGCGATGACGACAAGGGTGACGACGCAAAGGCAGATGCTGAGACTCATGCCATCCTTCTCGCACTAGCGGACGTCTGCAAGCACTACGCCGTGGCGCGACGCACAGTGCGGCCGGTGCGAGTCATGTTCACTGAGAGCGAGTTGGCGCTGCGACAGGCGGCCGAC